TGGACATCAGGTTCAGGGACTCTCCACACGCAAGGGCGGAAAGACAGTTGATTGCGGCACAGGCTGGAGATAGATGTTGAAAGCCCTGGGGTAGCATATGAGTGCCAGGGGCTGATAACAGCTCTTTCTCCACTGCTGACTTCTTACTCCAGTTCAGACGCTGCACAGTCTGGAAAGGTCTGTCAGAGGATCCTGGCTCCCCACATTTGGAAGAGAGGTGAGAGCTGGGGGATGCTTCAGGGTCAACAAAAATGGGGGATGAGAGGGAAGACTTGCCCCAAAGCGATGCTGGAGCCTTGGCTATCAGAACAGCAAGTGGTGGGTGCATCATTGAGGGGAACACCCACAATGCAGCTCTCTGGCTCAGGTAGAGACTCCTGCCTGGCCCCAGAAACCACTCAGCTCCTACCCTGGCACCTGCAGATCCTAGGCCAGGCCATAGGGCTGCAGAGACTGTTTCGAGCCTCCCCCCCCACAACACCCTGTGGCAGGGAATTGCACAGGCCAAAGCTATGTGCTGGGCTGTCCCACCCCGCTCTGTACCCATGCAGTGGGTGTCCTGAGCCACCTTGTCCCTGTGTGAGTGAGTAGTGGCCCTGGTATCCCCAGTCCAGCTATAGTCCTGGGTTCCTAACCACCTCTCCCTTGTCCCCTCTGAGCAAGGAGCCCCTGGGAAAGGCCCCCAGCTGAGGATGTGATTTGGAGAGTCAGGAACTGGCAAGCAGAGCAATTATGGGCTCTAATTCTAGCAGGGATCTGTGCCTAATAATAGCAAAGAAAGGAAGGTCTGCCTTGATAGGATGGTTGGGAAACTGAGGCTAGAGGAGCTGAGGGGAGAGTCAAGGTTTGCTGGGGGAGCTCTGGTCTTGGCTGTGTGGGAATATTGGGGTCTGCAGATAAGGAGCTGGTGTGGACTGCGGGAGGGGTCTCCAGGCGATGGGGGTGCCAGGGCTATGCTCCCAAGAATTCTCTCCCCTAGGTCTGAGATGAAGCTGGCCGTGGTCCTGGTGCTTGCCCTGCTGGGCACTGCCTCAGCCCATAGGCTCTGTAAGTCTGTCCCTCCCCAGGCCTCACCCCAGGCCCCCCCTTCCAGAGAAAGCATCTCCCCACACTTTCCCTGGCTGTGTCCAAAACATACCAACCCCAATAGGGAGCCCATATGCAGCCACTCCATGGACCTCAGTAGCATAACTTGGAGTGGGCAAAAGGGGCATCTGCCCCAGGCACCAAATTAGGAGGGGTGGCAGAATTGAACCCTCCTCTCCCCCTGCAGAGTCTGCACCTCAGCAGCATTGCCCTGTTGGGAACCCCAAAACAGTGTCCAGCACCCCTGTCAAAGCAGTCTTCCCACCCTTGGGCCTGGGCTGTCTCCTGGTGCTGAAAGGGCCCATCATTGTTTCTCCCTACCCAGTAAAAACCCTAGAGCCAGTGGAAGGCTCTGCTCTGGAGGAGGAAACAGAGCTGGAGCTTGGGGACCCAGAGCTGCCGCGCCCCTTGGAGCAGAACACGATGATGGTGACAGATGAGTCTGGCAAGAAGTTTTACCATAAAATAGTGCCCAAGCGTCAGACCTTTTGAAAGGGCCCAGGTAAGCATAGGCTGGCCGGGGAGGGGGGGGCTGATGCTCCACCCCCATCCTCCAACACACAGATTCCCAGGTAGGGCATAGACATTATAGACATTAGGGCTGGAAGAGACCTTGGAAGATCATCGAGTCCAGCCCCCACCCGAAGGGCAGGAAGTCAGCTGGGGTCATAGGATCCTAGCAAGGTAAGCATCCAATTTACTCTTGAAGGTGTTCAATGTAGGTGCTTGAACCACCTCCAATGGCAGGCTGTTCCAGAGCTTGGGGGCTCGGACAGTAAAGAAATTCTTCTTTATGTCCAGCCCGAAATGGTCTTGCAGTAGTTTATAATCATTCGACCTCGTCATCCCTTGGAGCACTCTGGTGACCAAACGTTCCCCCAGATACATGAGGCCTGCTTGCTGGTACATGATGCTAGGCCTTCAGATGAGCCTGCCCTGGCCTCTGGCTGTTTAGTGCCCTACCCAGAGCTAGGTGATATGCAGGGAGGTGGGAAGGAGCATGGGGCACATGCTTGTGGCAGTGGCCAGCAAGCATGGCCTGGACACGGCTAGTAAGTGTGATGTGCTGGGCAGGTGTCGGGACCATGGCTGGTACCCACTGTGGTGAATGGCAGGCATGGTGTGGTGTGGCTTGGATGATACACATGGCAGGGGCCGGTGGGTACAACCATAGGTAGTTAGACCCTATGACAGTGGCTAAAAAGACTATTGTGGCTGATGGACTTGGAAAGGGATGCAGGATGCTGTGTGGATGGTTCTCATGGCAGTGGCTGCCATTGATGGCCATTACCTGGCTAGTGGCAGCAGCCTGTGGATGCAGCGAGGCAGAGGGCTGTTGGGTACAATGTGACTTGTACTTATGACAGTGCCTGGTGGATGTACTGTGGCAGGGGGCTGTGGTGGTGACCCATGGAGGTAATGTGGCCAGACCGTGTGGCACTAGCTGGTGTATGTGGTGTGACCGGTGGCTGGGAGATATAATGTGGCAGTGCCTGACAGAGTATTTCATGGTAGGCTGCTGTGGCAGTGGCTTTTGAGCTTGACAATGGGTGTAGGCACAGGTCAGGGTGTAGTAGGTGCCTAGGTTGCAGCTAGGAGGTTGTTTTCTTACAGAAGGGCATTACATTCCCCCAAGCCGTCTGCCCCTCCTTTGCTGACTCCTGGTTAGAGCCCTAGCTCCATGGTAGCTGAGGATCCAGGCCCCTTCCCCATCTCAGCTATGTGCCTGTTCACCCCAGGCCCTCTACCACCTGCTGGCAATTTTTGATACTGCTCTCCCCCCACAGACAGAGTGCAAGAGCTTGTACAAGGTCAGCTGGCCTCCATCCACAGCACTGCCCTCAATAAACAGCTGCACAATCTCAGCAGAACCCATACCTGGAGGAAGGTGTGGCTTGGTGGCACCACTTCTTTCTCGGCAAGGCAGACCCTGTCCCCATCACTCAGCCTAGACCTCTTGCCAGAGCTTTGCCAGCTCCAGGACTGGGCATCCTCCCCAGGGCAGGGCAAGGCTGAGAAATAAGGGGAAGGGTGGGGTGGGTGCATTTTACCCATCACCAAACCCCTCCCATTGTGCTGTGGGATAGAATGGAGCACACAGAGCAGTGGGGCCTGGAGGCTGTGGTGGGAGCAGTGGGGTCTAAGGAAGGGGCATTTGGGCTCTGTGGGGTCTGGGGCAGGGGCTTCAGTGCTACAGGGGTCTGGGGTGCCAGGCATTGGCCAGGCAGCTACTGATCTCTCTCCCCATTTCTGCCAGATGGTCGATGGACTGGTCTCACCTGCTACCACCTCCAGCCCTTCATCTGCGAGTACTGAGATGGCTACTTCCAGCCACAGGGCCCACATCCACTCCACTGCCTCCACCCTCCCAAGCTCTGCCAGATGTCCCTGCTCCTAGTGTCTCCCCCACCCTCAGCAGTAGCTCCTGACCCTGCCCCATCTCCTGGGTAAGGACAACGCCTTCATCCCCCTCACTCTCTCCCTTCCCCTGCCCACATAGTAATTGCCTGATGTTCCTGCAATAAAATGATGCATCACTCCATCCATTCTGACACCTCCAGCCTCACGTTGCTCCTTCCTGTCTGGAGCTGGGCACAGCAACCCCAAGAGTTCTCCAAGAGTCATAGGGCCTGGGTGGAGCAGTGTAGGGGTAGTGGCCAGGCTGAGGTGGGGGATCTGGGTCCCTGTAGGCTCTGGACCCACATCCCATCACCAGTTCCAGCTGTTTCTCCACAGGCATGTGCTGATAACACCGATGAGCCAGGGGGTCCTGGAGCTGCAGCTTTTCCCCAGCTAGGGGTGTAGGGACAGCATAGAATACACAAGGAAGGTGGGGAGTGGGGTTACCAGACAGATATGTAGCAGGGGTATGGGGTGGGACATGGCAGATTAGGAGGTGTTCTGAATATCAGAGCATAGGGTGTGTGTGAGGCTGCTCAGGCACAAGGAGTGTATGGGTGTGGAGTTGAGTTGTGTGGGTCTGTAAGGGTATGTAGCTGGGCAGATTGTGCCATGGGGGCTGTAGGCTGTAAGAAGTGTTGGGGGATGTATAGATGAATGGGGTGCAGGATATGTATGTGTGGGATAAGGCTCTAGGCTTGTGGGAGTGTGAAAGAAAAGGGATAGGTGAGTCTGAGGAGTGTGAGGGGGGAGACAGAGGTGATCATCTTACTGGGGGACTCCTGGATCCTGGCATCCTCTCATGAGGGATCCAAAAAGGCACTCAGAGGAAATGCATTAATGAATCAGAGCCCAGTTATTACTCTGCCCTGAAGCCTCTGGTTTCTAGGTTTTTCATTCAAATCCAGCCTGGGCAGGTAAAGACTTGAACTGTTACCACATGGGGGCTCTGTGGGAACTGCTGTACATGTGGACCTCAGCCATGGTGGGAGGTTGCCTAGGGTGAGCTGCTCAGACACCTCTTATACCAGGCTGGAGAATCTTGTTCAAGGTAAAACTGATCTCCAGATCCGGGATCAGGACAGGCATCCCCCCACTCCCTGGGTCACATTGGTATGGATTGAGGGGGGTCTTGCATTCCTCTATTGCTGGGAGCATGGTCTTCCTCCTAGAACTCTCTGGGCATCTACTAACATAATGTATTCCCTGCCAGGGCGTGGGAAGGACTCCTACCTTCCCCTCTCTTCACTGGTGGTGTACTGTGTACTGTTTTCCCTTTGGTTGCTCTGTGGCTCTGGGGGGCAAGAGGGGCTGGAGTGGATGAATAGTTGCCCAACAATGTAAGAGACTGAAGCATCCAGGAAATTGGGGATCAGTGTAGGAGTTATGGGGTCAAAGTCCATGTCCTGTAATTGGCAACATATCAGACAAGAAGGTCCTTGGCAGCCTTAAAAAAAACCCAGGAACCTTGGCAAAGCCCAGATGTGAGGCCAACAGGCAACAGGGCTACGGCATATTGGGATCTCTCCATTAGTATTTATTGGGTTTCAATTAGGAAGGAGCTAGCTAGCGCTTTTACCTCCATAATTATTATGAACACACCCAACTATAGAACTGTACTCAAGTAGAACAATACATGTAAATACAGTTAGTGCTTCTTCCTAATTGTCCTGTATGAGAACAGGGAAAAGGGAGATAAAGGACTCAGACCAACAGGGCTATAAAAATAACTATAAAATTAAGTATCTGTAAAAATAAATAGCTCTGTAATACTCCTCTTTTTAAATGAGTCTGAGAATGGCTTGAGATGGTAGTAAACATTCTGAGTTGGGCAAACACAGATGAAGAGGTGCTGGGGGCTGGAGCACCCTGAAATTCCCTTTTTTCCTTCCGTTTTTCATGGAAAGCAGTCCCCAAACAGCCCTGTGGTTTCAGATGGGAGACTCAACATCAGCCTTCTTTGGTGATGAGGACAAGGAATTGAACCCTTCCATGGCTCGTTCCTTCTCCCTACGCTGGCATTCCCAAAACACCATCAAGGGGTTGACGAAGCCCAGGAGGATGATGACGGTGAGGCCAATGTTCACCTGGGGATAGGACAATGAGACTGTGAACCTCATGTGCACCAGGGTGTTAAACAAAATGTCCCTTGCCCCATAGGGGCACTCCCTGTCCCTCAGTTCAGGGAGTAAATAATGTTCCCCCACAGCCTGAAGAGCCCTGTGTGGGGCACCCGATAACTCATCTCAACAGTGTTGAAATGTAGCCATGGTGGTTCAGGAAATATGCAAGAAGCAAGGCTTTTTGGTGATATCTTTTATTGGACCAACTGTATAGCTGGGAGAGATGTTAGATAAGCTTTAAGGCATAAAGTGTGCTTCCTCAGGTCTGGAGAGCTCTCCCAGCTATATAGTTGGTTTAATAAAAGACATCATCAAAAAAATCCTTGCTTCCTGCATCATTTCAGTGGATCAATAAAGTAAAACCCCCAGTCTGGCCCTGAGGAGGACACTTCCTCTCTCTCACTCCAACAGACAAGTAGTTAATAAAGCTCACGTGACCCAGACTCCAAATAGGGCCCTCTCTGTCTCTGATGCTAAGATATAGCTAAAGATCCCCCCAAGCCTCTCCCACCTCCAGCACTGTATGAGGCATTCCTAACCTCTCACATCAGTCCTGTGTGCAGTACTGCCCTCATCTCACTTTAGGAGTTGGTACAAATTCTCCAAAAAGCCCCTGTCTAAGCCATTCCCTGCCTGTCACTCAGGAAGTCCAAACAATCCCTTTCCTTAACAGTACTATACGTTCATCTCTCACTCAGGGGTGTCAAAATGCTCCACAGACCCCCAGGGCCCTCCATGTCTCTCACTGTGGCCTATATGACACACTCTGTTCCTCCCTCCAAGCTGTCTACTAGAGCCTCCTGCCATGAAGTCCCCACGTGGACAAACTTCTTGAGAACTGTGGATAAGTCTCTCCCTGACCCTCATGGGTCAATAAACATCCGCAGACCTTCTCTGTGGCACCCCATGCTCACTGGAGAGCATGTGGAAAGCTCTCACCTCAGGGACTACTTGTCTTCCACTCTAGATTATCGAAAAAGATCCTCTAGATCCATCTATGCATAATTCCTGTCTGCTTCTCCAGAGTGTCAATAAAGTTCTCCCCAAAGGACACCTGCTTTGGGGTGTCAATAAAGTTTCCTCCTCAGGAACATGCATGGTGCACTCCATTTGACCCTCAGATATTGCCAATGTGCCCCCTAGAACCAACATGGGTATCTCACGTCTCTCCTGCCAGGGTATCAATAAAGCGCTCCACCCCCTGCCCAACCCTGGCTGATGCTCCCTGCCGAACTGGACACTCACATAGAAAGGGTTTCCATTGAGGGGTCCCTTGACGAGTGCAAAGCAGGGATACTGCAGGAGCGATACCAAAGCTGACAGACCCATCACAAGCCCATACAGCTTCCCAAAGTGCTCCAGGGGGAAGCTGCAGAGAGAGTAAACACAGGAAGTGGGGTACAACCTGGTGGGGGCAGGGAGGGTGCTGGGAACACTGGTGTAAGAGGGGCCAGAGGTGAACCCTCCTCCTGCCCCGACCACCACCAGGCATCTCTCAGCCCTGCTCCCCTGCCCCTACACCACTGCCTTTGCCCCCACTGCTTCTGCCCTGCCCCTTCCCAATCCTGGACCATCTCCTTCGCCCACCCCCTGGAGCCCTGTGGACCTCATCAGATGACTCACGCAATGGCCAGAAATGCAGCATTGCCTCCATAGAGGAAGGAACGACTCAGCACCTGCAGGATAAAGGTGGCGTACTGCACAGGCAGCACAGGCACGGTAGCACACACTGAGAACCCCACACTCTGCACCACCGTCACTGCCAGCGACAGCACGCAGGAGCGCAGGTCAGCCAGGGAGTCTGAGGCACCTGGGACAGAAGGGAGACACAGATCTCAGCCCAGGATCAGCATAGCAGAGCTCACAGCATGGCACTGCCATAGGGAAGTCCACAGCACCAGTGGCCAGCCAGGCATCGCTGTGGAGAAGGTCACAGTATCAGGCCAGCTTGGCTCTGAGAGAAAGGATACATCAGATTACATGAGAACTGTTACCGTGGGTGCTGCCATCCTTGCCCCTCCTGCGCTTGTGCCGATCCAAGATGAGGCCATTCCAGGGGGCGCATAGAACCCCACAGAGCTGAGTGAAGGCAAAGGCATTGGTGTACGTGCTCACTGGGAAAAGAGGGTACAGTGGTGTGAAAAGACAGGACTGTCCAAGGGGCCTCATACCCACCCCCATCTCTAACCCCCCAGGGCTGGAGGGTTGAGCCAGATGCAACCTAGAGTGGGTGATTCTTATGTTCTGCACCCCCGCCAGCAACCCACCCCCTGCTTCAGTTTCCCTTCTAGACACTAAGTTAACAATAAGCAACCCACCTTCATCCAGGCCTCTTTGAGGCTTTGAGGGAAAAGCTCCACAGCTATAGATATTCCCACCACTTCCCCCATTCACACTCAATCCCCTCCCGCCATCCATCCCTGTCCCCTTCCTCCACCTTGATTCCCTCCTTTTCACCTTCCACCCCCTCCTGCAAGGTCTTCCCCATTCCCTCCTCCCTCATACTCCCACCCCAGGCCATGTATACTGGGAAACCTTCGGCCCAATCCCTCCTCCCATTCTCTTGGATCACCTCTCCCTCTCCTCCCTCTATCCCGTCCCATACCCAGTGCAGTGTTTTTCTCAGTCAGGTGCTCCAGCATGGGGTTCAGGGTGCCAATGAAGAAATAGTGCCGCAGCTGTATCACTGATAGCCACACCAGGTGCCAGAAAAAGAGCTTGGAGATGACACAGGACTGGAAGGACCGGACAGGAGGCTCCTTGTGACCTGCAATGGCACCCAGGTCAGCTGGTGGGGGACTGAGTGCACAATGGCATTAGCCCCTTGGTCACATGCTGGGAGGGGAGATGTAGGGGAAATCCAAGGGGCCGTAATTGCCAGTTCTCATGATATCTAAACGCACAGAGGTGGAGGGGTAACCAGAGGCCACAAAGGGCGAGGAAGATCAGACAGAGCAAGGGAAATCAGCTCCTGCCTTCTTCATGTCCAGGAAATAATGAGACCCAGGGCCAAGTGCCAGGCCCACTGGCTTGCCCACCAGTGCTGGTGCCCAAGGCTCCCCACTCTGGGACTCTCCTGGGGCACAAGCCCTAGGCACAATCCACACAGGCCCCTCCCCCAGCAGCTCCCCTACATGGTCCACACTCTAGGGAGCATGCTGCTCTAGGCACAGCTCTGTGCTACCTGTGCATCCCCCAGTGCCTGAGGGACAACATGTCCACAGGGAAAAGCAGAGCAGCCCTGGGGTGGCTGGCATTATCCACCAGGCTGCAACACTCCCCCACAGAGGAAGCCTGACAGGAGGGATCCAGTCACACACTACCCCGGCCATGTCTCCCCATCCCCAACACACCTCTCTTTGGCCATGCCCCTTACCTGACAAAACAACCATGTGGCCATTCTTCCTCCCTCCCTTTGGCTAGGCCCAGCCTCCTGACACAGCCCCACTGAGACACTTCTCCTTTGGCCATGCCTCCTCCTCTGGCCGCACTGCTGTCTATACAGCACAGTCATCAGCCGTGCCTTGCCCAACACACCTACTCCCCTTCACCAGCCATGCCCCCCACAAAACCCTCCATCTGGCCCCACGCCTGTCCCCAGTGCCCACAGAGGTAGTTCTGACCTGCTTTTCTGGCCCTAGGTCAGGGAAGTCATTCCCTTTGTGTGGCAGGTCTCTGCTGGGGATGCCTGGTACCATCCAAACCCAGGGCAATGGCTCATTCAGGCTTGTGGAGGAGTCTCTTCAGTGGGTCCTCAGCCCACCCAGCCTGGGGAGGGTATACCAGGATGCCCTGATGGGGCCCCTCCACTTCCTCTCATAGGGGCAGGCAGGGCTCCAGGGACTACCAGTGCATTGTCCTGTCCCTGGGATGGGCAGAGGGTCCCCCCCACAAACAAGGCAGGAGCAAGGGCCTTGGAAAGGGCCTGGGGATATGGAGCAAAGGAAGCCGGCCAAGCCCCTACCTTTGCTCAGGAAGTCGTTGGGGCTGCGGTCAGCCTCTGCAAGAACAGGCTCCGACTGCAGGTCATTGCTTCCGCCTCTGTGGGCTGGCTGCTTCTCCTCATAGGTGTGGTAGGACTGAGATTTCCTACAGGTCATACTGTGGACAGGCAGCCAGTCAGACCCCACCCCAGCCTGGGGGACAAGACCATGCAGTTCCCACCCAGCCCCCACAGCAGGCAGGAGATGGGGAACCACTCTTCAGGCAGGGTCCCAGGTACCAGCCCAAGCTGAACCAGCCTGCCTGCACCAGGTGTAGATGACCCCACGAGGTCCCTCCCAGCCCTGCTCCTCTATGATTCTAAGCTTCTAAGGAGGTCAGAGGTTCAGGTTCAAGGGGAGAGGAGAGAGGAGCAGGAAGATTCCCACAGGAGCAGTGGAGGGGGCCTTACCCATAACTGTATCCTGGAGGCAGTGGGTAGGGGATGTGCTGCTTAGGCATCAGAAAGAAGGTGCGGATCAGGTGCCAGGCACTGCAGGCAGTGATGAAGAGGAACATGTCCCTCAGGGTCAGGCCCTTCTCATACAACAGCTGTTGGCAAAAGCAAGGGAAGTATAAGGGGCAAGCTAGACTTTGTGGAACATGTTAGGAGTGGAAGAGACACGTACAGAACCTGCCTGGAATCAGGGCCCCTATTGTACCAGGCACTGCACAGACCTTACGATCCAGACTCTGTTATACTGGGCATTGCACAGGCCCCAGCAGAAATTAGGGTGCTAGGTCCTGCACAGAAATATTGAGGAATGGATAGCATCTGTGTCATGAGGAGGTCCAGACAGGTCAGGGAAAGGAACAGGAGGAGGTGCTCTCTCTCCAGAAGGCAGGGCTGATACCAGTGCCCCAGTCTGGCAATAGGAGGTGATAGTCTGCAGGGGGAAGGTGGGGGGTGAGTGGGAAGCATTCTTGCCCTGGAGTCTGGACTTCAATACCCTAGTGTGGCACTAGGAGGCTCTGTACTGCAAGTGATGCCCCCCCATTTGAGCTCAGTTGAAAAACTGGGGTCCTGGAAAGTTTATGGGTTCACTAGGGACCTTCCAGTATGGCCCAACATAAAGCAGCAGCCCCAAAGCGAGGCAACTGACATCCTACAACCCAAGCCTGCTCCCCAGCCCATGGTGGGGACCATTCCTGGTACCAGTAACTGGCCATGCTCTGGACTGCTGCACTCTATACCTTCTTCTCAGAGATGGCTACATTTAAGCACTGGATTCAGCCTCACTGAACCTTCTCATGGGCAGGTATTACCAATCCCATGAGTCCAAACATCACCCCCTCCCCAAAATCACAGTTCTTAAAAATCACAAGATCCTTAAGGAACCTCTCCAAGCTTTTCCCCCAGCCGGAGAGGGCTCTCCTCCCCAAAGAAAGCTCATGTAGCCTCCAAACTCCGGTATCAGGGACTTTAAGAGCTGCACCAAGAATTGCTGGGAATGCTGGTGCCAGGCCAGAAATCCCAGATGTGAGATCCCCTGGGAGTCTGCAAAGGAATCGGTGCCCACAAGATGAGGGGAATATGGCTGTTGTGGTCACTAAATTTGCTCCATCAGGCTAGTCCAACCCCCTCCCAGGCTTCTCCCTCCAACGGCATTCCACATCCCAGCCAGTTCCAATACGCAACCCATTTGTTTATTCAATGTGACTGGTCCAACCCCTCCACCAAAACACTGGTACCAGGGAGGTTAGATGTTCCCCTCCATCTCTTCCCTGTCACGGGATAGACCTGATCCTGTTCTTCCCAGTGGGGCTAAGGCAAAGGAAACAAAACCCTTGGAGCAGAGGGAACTGGCTGCACAGGAAAGGGCTGAAGAGCCCTGCAGCCTAGTTTCCTCATATCAGAGGCTTAAGCAGAAGGCAGGAAGCAGCTCACAAGCAACAGATGGGTTGTGCAAGACAGAGGGGAGCGAGAGGCATGGGATAGCTGTGGTTTGCGGACAGGAAATGGGACCGAGTGCCAGAACTCTGGGGTTCGATTCCCTGGTGGCATTCTACCATTCCCTGGTTCTGTTCCCAGCTGTGAGCAGGAGCAAGGTTGAGCTAGAGGGTTGAGCATGAGACGGTGAGTCAGGACACCCAGGTTCTATTCCTGGCTGGGGAGCAGGGGGCATTGGGATGGGTGGGTAGAGCCCTGCCACCTTAACTCTCCCCTTTGGGAAAGGCCAACTCGGGAGCCAGGACACAGTGCCCCAGCAGTGCAGGCACAGTATGGGCTGCCATGTGGCTTCATGCTGAAAGTGAGCCCAGGAACTAACACTCTAATCCCTCAGGGACCAGACCTCCCCAGTTGGGATCAGGCAGCACTAATGCCCTTGCCCACCCTTGCCTTGCAGGACACTCCTCACTTGCTGAGCTCTCTAACAAAGCCAGCTAGTCTGACAGATGCCAGGCTCTGAGCACGTGGGAAATCCTGGGCCTGGAGAGGAGGGGCAGAGGGATCACTTTGCAAGTCAGGAGAGGGACACAAGCCTTAGGACTGCGCAGGTCTCTTTGCTGCTGTGGGTTCTGTTTGGTGGTGTACCCGGCTGGCCAGGAAGGCGCTGCTCTGTTAGGCTATATTTGCTGCAGGCTTATTAACGTCTGTCCCAATCAATACCAGGCACTCATGAATGAGCATTCAGCTGCCAAGTGCAATGAGAAGCTCCCTGCCCTTCTGCTGAGAGTTTGGTTTGCAGCTCAGCAGATCTAACTCCTGCCAAGCTGGCACCAAAATCTAGACACTCTTGCACTAACTGAGGGGTCCCTACAGATGTCCAGTAGGCATGTGCTGGGTATCAGCACCCAGCCAGAACTGAACAGCTGAGCTTGGCTCAGTACCACCTAAGAAAGGGGCAGCTTCAGGTTTGCAGAATCAATGCCTGGAAAATCATGCGGGTGAATTAACTGCAAACCAGCAGGGGGCACTGACACCACCTGGCACAAGGCTGAGAAGGGGTAGCAGGGGGCACTGCTCCACAGCAGGAGGCCAGACTATGTCTCTGGTTCCAGACTGGTGGCCAAAGGCTGTGGGTGTGCCAGCTGGGGAACCTGCATAGCACCAAGCACAGCAGGGTCCTGAGCTTAGAGCCTCAAGGCAATACAGGTCCTTGGCAACAATGATTCTCATACTTAGCACACTCCCTTGAGAAACTGGGCAGGGGGTTGTCTCTCTACATCCCTGGGACAGATGGGGACAAAGCCAGGGGCGGCAGCACATTCACTAATGGATGCCAGAGCCCTGCAATTCAAAGGGTTTCTAGCAACAGCAGCAGGCAGCACTGAACTGGAAGGAACAGGAGGAGGTGCTCTCCCCAGAAGGCAGGGCTGGCACCAATGCCCCAGCCTGGCAATAGGGGGTGCTAGTCTGCAAGGCAAGGTGGGGGTGAGAAGCATTCTCACCCTGGAGTCTAACGCCTGCCAGGACCTGCCTACTGTCCTCAGCAATGACAACGCACAGCAATACACAGCCAATACAACAGCCGATACACAGCAAGCAGGGGCCTGCCTGACTGGGGGAAGGGGCAAGGACTGGGAGGGTCTGACAGGTATGAATCATGCCCTGGGCTGACCCCAGGGAGACAGTCAAGCCCCAGACCCAGTAACAAGGGAAAGTCACTCTCATGTACACAAGTGAATGGAAATCCCAGGGGACAGAGGTCAAGGATGGACTGAAGGAGCCTCTACAGCCACACCAGGTGAGCTCAGCCCCTCCAGGTGGGGTTATACTGGGGCTACCATGACATCTCAGAGGCTCATAGAGATAACATCAAACACTGCACATAGCCAACGGGATAGCCCCTACCTCAGAAAGCATGCACAAAGGGAAACTGAGGCACAAAAGGGTGTAGGTGCCTTCCCCAGGTCCTTAGCAGAATGGGGATATCCCCCAGATCTAACTCAGCCCTGCTCTCAGCAACACTGCCTTCCTGCAGCCGCTTGGCCAGCATCAGCACAGAGTAAAGGTTGCTGGGTACAGACTCCTATCTATCCAGGCACCAGTTGTACCTGTACTATGATCTCTGGAACCTGCTGGTAAGAAACAAAGGATCAGCCTCCCAGGGGAGACCCTGCCAGGGAATCCTATATGCTATGTACTCTGGAGGTCTGCCAAGGGCTCCCGAGCATAGTGACCTCCACTCCCGAGCACAGCACTCCCCACACGGTCTGGCTGGCCATACAGCTACAGATGACGCCGACCAGAAGAGCAGAGCATACACTCTTCCAGGTGGGGACAGGCTAAGAGTCTAACTGATCACATGTCCCATCACCAACAGGGGCAAAGAAAAGATGCTCCAGGGCAATGATCCTCAAACAAGGCCCCACCCCACCTTGGATGCCATGAGATCCTTTCAGGGGTGCCATGGGGTCTACATAATGTTAGCACTGTTAGGTGCACGAACATGATTCACAAGATAAACTCCAAAATTTCAAATAGGAATCTACAGCGTTAAAACCATTCCACCCTGTTATGGGCATTCTGAGTTCTTAGCAACAGAAAAACATTTCTATTACTTTTCCACAATCAAAAGATGAGTGAAAACTAAGCACAAGAATTTTTTGAGGGGTGCCTTGGTTGATAACTACCGCTCTGAAGAAGGAATCAGGATGTGTACAGAGCCATCCACCCCGTCAGAGCTCTCTTGTTGCCTCCACAATGGGGTGGGTGGGAGTGTCCTGGGCCTAAGATGACACCCCTGTCATGGTGAGCTCCCAGATGCCAGTCCCCTCTTAATCTACCAAACCATTTGCTGAAGCTGGATGAACTGCCCTGTGGTGGGGAGTCCCACAGGTCAGTCGTGCTCTATGCATGGCCTGCATTTCAAAGGAGCTTTTCCATGTGGGCCAGGAGGGCTGAACAACTGCCAAGACCAATCCCAAAAGGGGGTGCCTGTTTGGGGAGGAGCCCTAGATGTCAGAATACTGTTAAAATGCAGATGCCACCTGGTGGGGGGAAGGAGGCATATCCTAGGGACTTTTGCTGAAAGTTCACACCTTCACACTCTCCCTGGAGGCCCCACATAGGGCAGCATGCTTCAGGGCACTGAAGTAGCCTTAGTGACCGCTGAGCTGTGGAGACCAGGGACTCCAGTGCAGAGGGACCTCGAGAGGCCCTGCCAGAATCCCAGAGGCTCAGAATCCCGTGAGTGCCAGGCCCTGAGGGACACATGTCCTTAGAGGAGCTCAGCAGGGTCTGTACCAGGGCAACGTCTCCACTGGCAGGGACAAGTTAGGCCTGGATCAGTGGGTGTTTGGCCCATGTCCCTGCCCCCTCTCCCGCCCTGAAGGAACTCACCTTGATGATGAGGAACACAGCAGAGGAGGAGTCGAATGCCCCATTGTACAAAGTGATAATAGTTGAGCGGTGCTTCCCAAACAGGTTCCCCACCTGCAAGAACAAGAACCCCCAGCCCATGATCATTAACCTGATCAGGACTGCCCAGGGCTCAGGTGACAAAAATCAGAAAAAAACAGGGCTGTAAAGGATGTCAAGGGATCCCCTTGCCCAAGCCCAACCCCAGACGGACCATCCTTGAGGGAACTCTGTCCAACCTGCTCTCAAAAGCCTCACAACCTCCCCAACAATTTCATCCTGAACCATCTTTGCAGCTGGAAAGCTCTTCCCAATCTCTACCCCCAACCTTCCCTGCTGCAATCAAAGCCTGTTGCTTCATGTTCTGCCCCTGGAAGACATGGAGAACCTTTTATGCCCTTCATTTCCGCAGAAATGTCTGACATATTTGAGGACTGCTCTCCCAAGCCCCTCATGCTTCTCTCCTATTGATTAAATGCACCCAGTTCTTTCAGTCTAGCCTCAGAGGTCCTGGTTTCTAGACTTTGGGTGATTCTAGTTGCTCTTTTCTGGATTCTCTATTACTTTCTGGATGTCCAACTGGCCACAAGCTCTGGCCTCACCAGAGCCAAGCAGAGGGGAAGGATGATTTCCCATGCCATAGAGACAGCACTCCTGCTCCTACACTCCAACAGGGTGCTGGCTTTTTTTGCAACAGCATGACAGCATTTGCTTATATTCAGTCCACGTGTTTCTGAGCCCTAAAATCCTTTCCTGCAGAACAGCAGCCTGGCTGGTCGTTCCTCAATTTATATTTGTACAGCTTGTGGTTCCAGCTAGCTCAGAACACCATGTTTGTCCTTACTGCATTTCCTCCTGTTCTTTTCAGACCTCTTCTCCAATGGCTTGATATTAAGCTGGATTCTAACCTAGTCCTCCAAAGCTCTCGTGACATCTTTCAACTACACTCATTGCAAATTTTCTCTGGCAGTATAAATACTGAATGGTACCAGATCCAAGTCAGACCCCTGGGTACCCCACTTAATACAACCTTTCATCCTGATGGCTGAGCCAATGATAGCTACTCTGTGAGGACAGTTTTCCTGTTAGCCATGTATCAGCTTTACAGGGGTGTCTACTAAACTGCATTTCCCTGGTTTGCCTCAGAGGATGTCAAGTGAAACAGAGTCAAAAGTTTTACTGAAGTCCAGCTGTACCACATCTGCCATCTGTCCCCTACCTACAAGACCTGTTCCTTGGTCACAGAAGGAGAGGCCTGATTGGTCTTTGATCTGGACCAATCCTGCTGGTTGGTCCGTGACACTGTGTTAGCTTCCAGGTACTCACAGACAGAGAGTTTGGTTTCATGTTCCAGTCTTTCAAGGAATCAAGGCTTGACCGTCTGAGTTGTAATTCCCTGGGTCCTCCTTTCCCAGCCAGGGGAGCCTCATCTGACCTCAGGAGTCCTCACAATCCCTCAAGCATAGGTGACGTGGAGTGGGGGGAGGCGGGAGGTGGAGGGGGCACGTGCCCCCCCGCAGATTTCTATGCCAATGGTGGGGTATGGGGCTGCAGGCAGCAGCAGGGGCAGCAGCAGAGGTGCAGAGTTGTGCACCCCACTGTGAACACTTATGCTCAGCTGTGCCCTCAAGACTCTGACACTGCCTCAGCCAGCTCCCTGACATGGCTCTTCAAGCCCAGCTGATCAGAAAACAACCAACTTTTCTAAGGAGTCTTTATCCTTTTCCTCCCCTCTCCCAGCTCAGTTCTTTCCCTAGCGCTAATTTTGTTAATATCTTTCACAGTTAGCCTTCCAGTGAAAAATCAAGTAAAAAAGGCATCACAAATGTCAGTCCTCTCTGCTCTCCCCTTCCCTGAGCAGTCACCATCTCTCTTTGGACAGCTGCCTCATCCTCCTAGTGCCTAAGAGAGCATTTCTCACTGTAGCCTTTAAATCCCTTGCTATTCCCAGGCCATGAGGAGTTCATGCCTAAACAACACTGGACCGGTGTTTTCCCCCCTGCCTTAGCCCTTGCACTCATCAGAGCTTGCACCCCAAGCAATGTTTAAGAAGCTGCCACCTCTCTTGGAAGCTCCTCCCCTAAGGCAGGTTTCCCAAGAGACCCTGTAATCTGTGTTCTCTCCAGGCCCAGGCTTTATTCTGCTGTTCTCCTTCTCACCTCGTGCAAGGGCCTGGGAGTCTTTCACCTCATGACCACCCTGCCCACCTTGCTGTCCACCCCCATGTCCTCCCTGCCAAGCTCAAAGAGCTTCCCCTCCTGCTGCTTTCCCTATCTTCTGTATCACAAGGAAGTCCACACCCCCAGAACTTGTCTGGGCATCCTGGGTCCTGCTGGGCTACTCTCCCGTGAGGAACCTGAAGGAGATTAAGTATTCCCCATAGAGCAGGATGGGTGGACTTCAAAGCCCTTAAGGGATCTCCAGAGCCAGGCCATCCCAGGTACTTTCAGCCTTCCTTCTCCAAAGGCAGCACTTTGGCCAGGGCATCTGCCCCACCAGGACACCCTCAGCCCATGGGGCTCAGCAGGGGACAGCATATCTTTACTCCCCCAGTTGAGTCTGCCCCCATACCCAGCTGGTGTCAATTAGGCATCACCAGAGGTGGCATGGTCCCCACAAGGAGACTGAAGCCCATCCCCCCCACAACTGCACCTCTCCCAGTGAGGAGTCCAAATGGAGTCAGACCTGCATGTTGGTGAGGATAAGGAGAATCCCTCCGATAGACAGCAGCGACATGGCGGGGAAGAGCATCAGTGCCGTGGCTGCCAGGAACACAAAGGCACAAATCAGGGACCCAATCTACACACGCACGCATACACCCTGCACAGCCAGGCCTCACCACAACTTGCAGGGGTGGAACTCCACAGGAACACAAGCATACAAGTTTGCTTGTGCTTGGGTGCCCAATAAGGGATCAGAGCAGTCCAAGGGTATGCTCAGAGTTATCCAGCAGGTGGTGCTGTTGGGGTAGTTACCAGACACAAGTGGGGCTGACATCAATCTGATGGGGTTTGCCTCTTCACCCCCAAAGCAGAGGATCCACCAGCATCGCTGTTGGGGGATAACCCAGCTCAGGCTTGCCAGCTGGGAGTACGGCTCTCATCATGGGTCAGAGAAGGGGATGGTGTCCCATCTCTAAGACCTCTCCACTCCAGCAGGACTTCATGCCCATAGAGCACCTGGCACACACTACCCAAGCCCACCCTACAGCACCTACAAGGACAGCACTTACCTGCTGTGGAGAAGGAGATGAGCAGGGTACCCCCAGTGTACAGAAATCTGAAACACAGAGACACAGGGTAATGCAGAGGGAAGCTGGGGGGCAAAGAGTCTCCCAACCCTGTATCATAGAGGAGGTAAGCTGATGTCAGAAACAAAAGCAACCCTGCTGGGGGGATGGATGGATGGATGGATGGATGGGACAAATGGTGGTCATGGGATGGATCAACTAGTAGATGGACAGATGGACTAGATAGAGGTGCACATGGAAATGGATGGATGGATTGAATGGAAGTGCCCAGAGGGATGAATGGGCAGACAGATGGGCTGGACAGATGGATGGTGGGCACCAAATGGAATAACTTGTTTGATACCAGCATGTGAAGTCTTTCAGCTCCAGAGTCTGGATCCTGATCACAGAAAGGCAAAGACCTATGACAGAAGGCCTGGGCATGGGCAGCCTTTCCCTCCAGACAGCTGGGAATACACACTGGCAGTGGAGGCATGGATAAGCCCTGGCTGGATCCTTCCCCACTGAGACCAGTGGATCCAGCCAGACCTAATCCTCTCAGCCCAGCTAGGACCTGCTCCTAAAGTCAGAGAAGGTCAGAGAAGGTCCCAGTCAGAGAAGGTCCCTTCGTTGCCTGCCCTGGGCTCTGGGGCTGACCTGTCCTCCGTGCTCAGCTGGGCTGTCATGGGGAAGAGGACCCTCCCCAAATACCCTGCAGGAAATCCCAGCAGTGAGTCCACTGGGAGTCAGCACACACAAACTGCCCATCCTAACAGCATGGCAGCCTGGTCCTGTTCTGGGAGCAGCTCCATGTAGCATGCCAGGCAAGCACGCAGAAGGATGTGGGCAGCCAGCCCTTCCTTCCTCTTTGCAGGCACTTGTGCAACCTGACATGGGAGGAGGTATGTCCTAGAACCCGCCGCATCAGCACCCCGTGCGGTTCATGTGAGCTGCCTGACTTTGCCCCCAGCCCATTAATAGATTAACTCAGCTGAGACAAAGTTAATGAGCTGCATCTGCAGCAGGAATAAACTCCCTGACCTGAAACCACTAGAGCCACTGACCTCCCTCAGCATCTCTCCCACACATCCTCATCGCTTCCACATATACCTGAGCCACATGCACCCATCACTCCCACTCAGCTGTTTCATACCACAAACCCATCACCCTCCCACACCCCCATCACCCCATACACACTATCACATGATGTAGTCATTACCCCCACATGTCCCTGAGACCCCCAACCCATCAAAGCAGGGTCAGGAGGGGCTTGTAGCAGAGATGCTGAGCATTAGCCTCAGACTCCCCCCAGCTGGAGCAAACCAGCCACATTGAAGCCCTTGGAGTAAATTTCCAGCTGAAGTAAATCAATCAGAGATCCATAGGAAGGACCTGGTTGAAATATGGTAACCACCGGGACAATGGAGTCAGTAGTTCTGATCCCCAGCTGGGATAAATCAGTCACAGCTGCAATGGAGCTCACACTGGATCACAGCCCTCTGTCCCTGAAGCTATGTAATCAGGATTCAGTGGGTGACCACCATGGAAGTAGCCCCCTGCCCCTTTTGTTCCCCTTATGTCTCTTTCCATCAACAACCAGGGAGCCCGCACCCAGGGGATCTCTGTGACATACCCCAAATTGAAGCTTCATTGACTCCAAGATTAACATGGGCCGGCAGTGTGGGGAGGCAGT